TCCCTCAGCACGGACTTCACATATTTAAAACGATGCAGAAAAAAAATAGATGGATTGAGCTCACTCTGTATAAAATTCGCCGACAATGGCAAGCACAATTGTTATGACTGCAACAGTAAACACATGGTAGCCGGCGCCAATGCAACTTGCGAACAATAATGGCATTGATGGAGCGCGGAAGACATCTCCATGTACTTGCTTCCAACCGTATTCATCCCCCAAATCAGCATCCTAAAAGAATGGACGCTGAGCAAAAAAAGTTTTTAAAAGATATAGGTATTTTCAGATAATACACGAAAGCTTTGCACGTCTTTGCCCCTCAATCAGGTTTTTTTTTTTGAAATAAAACACTTGTTTTGAGGACATTCTATCATTGTAATGCTTGAATGACATTTAGATAGACACTGGCCGTCTGCCAATTCACCCTTTTCACATGCCCAGAACACCATACACATTAAGGCAATTCGGTTTTTTGATCGGCAGAGAGCGACAAAAGAAATTGCAGCAATGCTGTACAATAACTTGTGTTCAGCTTCCTGACAAAAGTATTGCATAATGGCTTTTTAGAAAATCTTGTGGCGGTGGCTAAAATTTTAAGGATAAAGATGCTTTTCACAACTATCACCATAGGCGCCAACCAGCTAAAGGCGAAGGCTGTGCGAATGCTTAAAATGTCTAAGAATGCTAGAAATTTAGGATAAATGTGAGGATATAAAGTTAATATGAATCTGCTTTGCATGACCATTGTTACTGCAAAACACCATAAATTTCAAATTCACCGTAAATTAAAAGCAGCTACAAAATTCTAATCCTTCAATGCAAACTTCTTGGCAACCTATGGGCATTACTCGAAGCGTCTCATAAGCTTTCTGCTCAAGAATAGTTTAAAGAGAAGAGCAATACCAAAACAATTTCAAGCAACCTCACTTCAAAGCTCCTAAACTAACGGCATACAGAGAGCTGCATATTACTGGCAAGCGTTTACAATTCTTATGGCTCTTGGACATACTAAAAGTTTTTGTTCCCAGCTGAGATATTTGTGTTATGTCAAGTGTCATAAAGGCGCAGAGAGAATAATAATTATAGATAGGAAGAATCTACTAATTTCGTATGGTTTACTGACAGAGTCACCCAACAGAAGACGACTGAGCAATAATTTTGATGACTTCAAAGCGAAAAAAAGGTTTCTACCTCTGAAACACATTATGATTTGGGTTTTTTATTAGATTCTGAGCATGAAAGGCTTGTTATTAACTAAAAACAGCAAACTCTGTTAAATCATTTATCACTGTTGGATATTTGTTGAAAGAGAGTTACTAATTCCCTGATTCTGCAAAGATCTTTCCTGTCCAATTCAGCATAAAAAACTATGGAACAAAAAACGCATCATAACCGAATGCAAAAGTAATTCTTATGAATTGATTGAGATAGCGTCACGGTCAACAAAAAAAGCAAAATTTCCCTTTATCAGAACATCACAGCTCGTCTGACTCACATTCATTAGTGCAAACTCCTACAGCTCTGCACTTACGCGCTATGTGCTATAGGAAGCTTTTTTAGCCATTCTAAAATCTTGCGAACACACATGAAATTGTCCATATACGTTCTATAACGCTCCCACGAAAATCTCCTTTTCGGGCTTATGTTTATGTAAACTTTTTTTTTTGAAAAATTGGCAGGGTTACACTAATATAGCGTAATGCAGAAACGATAATCTAAAACATTGTTGATAGTGAATGCAATGGAGAGCGTGTAAAACAAATTCCTATTTGGGAAATTATTTAAGTAGCCTCGAATTAAGAAGAAAAATTAGAGCAAAAACATGATTGAATGGACTTGCGCAAAACTCCAATACGGCTTCAAAAACAAAGGTCCACATTTTTTTAATATGAAGAAACACTACCTGCTTAATAAGAACTCATTTCTATAAATTACCGCAAAAGAGTTTTTTTTTTGTTCACAAGATAGCATGATATGAGTAGAAAAGAGGCAGACAGCTGTAAACAACTGACCAAATCATCAATGCTATCTTCTTTCTGGTATCTGGCGTAATCTTTACGTAGTGTCCTCACAAGAATCATCCAAACTAATCCGACAAGGAAAACAACCATCATGAAACTGTTGAAGATAGAGAACCAGTGGATCTGAGAAAAAAAAAACAGAATCGAAAGCAAAATTTGAACGGAATAAAACGATAAGGCACAAACTCTGTGTTGGAAGAAGCTTGGATCGAGGTACTTGTCAAATCGGTCAGCAAACTTGATAGATGACTGCACCCATTTGACCTGAAACGCTTCACGACATAATTTACATGGTGAAGAAAATATCATAACTGGTAGGTATAATGAGCTTAAGTCAAAATATTATTACCTCGTAGGTAAATTCCAATTCTACGCCCGGATGAATCTCGACATGACCACCGGAAGTGAGATTAACATCAACAACCTGACAAAAAGTAATTTATGAAAGATTAGGAACCAAGTTTTGTAAATTCGCCAAAAATGATTTGGTTGTTTACTACAACCTGTTTATCAGCATAGCCAATGTCCAATTGTTTATGAGTGTAAAGTTTGTACGTGGGAGGTGTTTTAGTGTCATCCACCTCACCAACCATGCCTGAAAAAATTATAAAACTCATAACGAAGAGGGCTATGGAGAACATGCAGAGAACCAAAATGGTTAGGCATTCACATAAAAACGAACCGTACCCCATATTGGCATATCATCCAGGTACATCTGGTAGAAATAACTGTTTTTGATGGCGTAAACGAATGTTTGATACTCGTCTGCAGTCAATTTTTTCTTACAGTATACTGTCTTCTTCGTGTTGGCTGGAAATTACAAATTCAAAAAAAGCAGATTCCACCCATGAAGAGAAAAGACATACTTCTAAATTTTATGTCCAATCCGGAGAAGTCCAGTTCAATCCCCAGTAGCGATTCACCCATGGTTTCATGATAATGCCCAATAGATTCCTTTGGACCTCGGCAGAATGGTAAAGAAAAGTACGTGTACGTCTCTTGTCGGTTACTGTATGGACCAACCTG